TTTTTATTTGCTAAGGAATTGAAATTTTGTAAGTCAGTTTTTCTTATATTTTAAAACAGAAAGTTTTTGAAGAAATTCAAATAATACTGAAAGTAATATTAACATATTACTTTAAGCGTAACGAATCGTGTTATCTGATCCCTATTTTTTTAGGTTTCAGATTCCACTTCTACTTTTAAAATTTCATACAAAATCTAAATTAATTTATTTGTCATGTTTTGTCAATTTTTAAATAAGGAACTCTTTCACATTAAATATCTTACTTGGCCTTTTTTAAGAGGAAACTTGAATGAAAAATATAAATGTAATACATTTGAACCTTAAAATTATTAAACCATGAAATTGGTAATGTGTAATTATTGTTTTAATTTACAACCTATTTAGTTTTGGATTTTAAATCGCATCGAATCAGAAGTTTTTTCAATTTCGCCGCAAACTTATATTCAAAGTCAAACCATAATGTCATGAAGATTATTTCTTTTTGAATTTGATTACAAATGACTTTGACACTTTATTAGGGATTCTGCAAATTCCCACCATGTTGTGGTTGAAGATACCATTTTTATCATGGCTGAACAAATTTTTAGTTGAGTATCTGTTTAAAAGTAATTTTAAAAAAAGAATATATTGAACTGTTTCAAATTTATGCTTTAAATCTTCTTACTACTATAACTCAAAAAAAATTTATATTTTGCCAAAATACTTAAACGCAATAAGAAAACTAATAGTTTAAAAAAGCATGCAAAAAACGTATTTAAACTCAAAATAATTTAATTTACTTTCTTCCAATATCGTAATCTGTTTTTAATCTTATAACACCAGTTGTGGATGTTCCCACAGAAACACCCACAATAGTTGTGGGTGTTCCTCGATTTATTTTGAAATATTTATTCCATATAAAGTTATAGACGTATTGTAAGCGACAATTTCATAATAATTAAAAATCATTTAACCGAATGCATGTTTGCCATGACTTCTGAATAATTATCTATGCATATCAACATAAATTTTAAAATATGAAATATTTATTTTAACATTAAAAAAATAAAATATGACTTTCTGCAATAATGCTCATCATCATGATAAAAATCCATCGAAATAAGCATATGCGCTAAACCTATTACAATTTTTTATTCGATCATTTTGAAAAACATTGCAGCATGGTTGCAAAACGAAAATGATATATGAAATATGATTTGCATTTTTCAACCAAAAGCAATTCTCTCGGCTATCAAAAGCGAATGCATATTTTATCCTGAAATCGAGACTACTTTTCATTTAGGAAATGCGTTAGAAACGTATAAAACATAACTACAGACTTCAAAATTTAGCTAATTTTTCTTTTTTGTTTGAGTTTACCTTCCGATGATAAAACTAAAAAAGGATCATAAATAAGAGGCCATACTCTCCAAAATGACATTATATTAGATTAGCTTAATTTTAAAACTATGAGATTTATGGTGCATTTTATTCTAGACAGTATTTCAGAGATTTTATGCATTAAAGGGATCTTGCAAAATTTACTATTTAGAATATTTAATATTTGTTACCCTTCATCTATCATGCATTTAATTGTATTCGAAATATTTTACACTGGATAGAAAGAATCGATATTCTAATTTATAACATCAAAAAAACTTTTCCTTTTAATAATGAATGAAAATTTGATTTAGTAAAGTCAAAATATTTTTTCCATTAGAGTCTTCGAATAGTTTAAATAAAAAATGGTTTGGGAATTTAAGTTTCACATTAGTCTCCGAACAATTATAACTTAAATCTGAAAACAACATATCATAAAAAATCTTTATGGTTCAACAAATGGATGGCAAATTTTAACTACTTATTCATAAAAAAATATTTTATAACAATATTCATTTCATTTAATCATTTATTATTAACATAGAAAATTCGATATGTAATTTATTAAGAAAAAAAAATGTTATTCTTGAAAAGATTACATTTAAATGTAATCTTTCAAAAATAAACTACTCACTTAAACTACTCACTTCCAAATTAAATAGCTTATTTTGCTTTGAGTTTACTGTTCGATAATAAAACTATTAAAAACTATATGGAAAATGTATGTGTAAAAAAGGGTACAATATATATATATATATANTTGTGTGTAGGTTCCACTGCATGTAACAAATTCAATACATATTACAAAAATCAGGAAAATATATATATATATATATATATATATATAATGACTCTTCTAAATATAAAAATTTCGTAAGTCTTTCAAGATCATTTCTAAGAATTGAACTTTTATTATTATCAAATATTCAGTCATTTTTTGTGACTGGAGATTTATAAATAAAAACGCTGTTAAAAAGCAAAGAAAATTAATGTTTAATATTTGTTATCCTCCATTTTAAGGGCATTTAATTGCGTGTAAAATATTTTAAGCAGAGTTGATAAAATCGAGACTTTTCTCTGTGAAATCAAACGTGTATTAATTATGAAAAGTGGTAACTCCTTCGAAGTTAGAGAATTGATAGTTTTTTCACGTCTTAAGAATTGGTTTAGGAATGTATATAAATTATTTATTCTGAACAGTCTGAAGCGAAATTTTTATGATATAATATGATACTCACATCATCACATATCAAAAAATAAATTGAGGATATTAACTCCTTACAAAAAAAAAATTATATGGATTTTATTTAGATATTTCACATAAAAATAGTAAATTTATAAAAGTCTATAATGAAAAGCAAAAAGTTCGCAACAAGAATGTTTTTTTTTTGTTAAATATCAAAACGTATTTATACATAATATATAACTGAAATAAATAATTTATTTTTGAAAAAAAGTTTAAACTTAAAATAATATAACGTGACGAAGTATTTACTTGAAAAAAGAATTATACGCAAAATAGTGCTGGAAGTAAATTCCAATATATCGTAAAATATTGATTAAAACGTTGCTTTAATGATACTTAATGAGATATTCTCGCAATATATCTCTTATAACATGTTTTATACTAAATATCGAATAGATCCTAATTAACAATGTTATTATTAAATATCCAATATAATAAAATAGCAGATTCCTATAATTGATGGCATTTATCAAATTTATGAATATCATTTGCCGTGATGGCTCAGGGGATACAGTGCAAAGCTCTCAATAAAGTGACCCTGTATCGAATTTCAGCTGTGGCTAGTTGATATGAATTCTATTAATAGAATGTACTGATGGCAGTGCGAATGTGAAATATCCTCACTATTCGACGGATCATGAGTTAGACTTCTGACTATCCGTGGGAATTTTTCTAAGTTTCCGTCTTCAAATAACGCAAATGTCGGTAAGTTCCATAAAAAATTCTCATCGAAGGTTACTTTGCTAAAAATGCTTGATCCAGGAGTTCAACTTTTTTCTGAGTTGGGTTCAAAATTACAGGGCTGCGAAGAGGAACATTGTAAGTCACAAATCCAGAATTGAGTCGACTTTCAAAAGCCGGTTACGAAATAAAAAAAGTCGATAAATATCGCAAGTTGATAAATACATTATTCGATTCAATATTATCGATAAATATAAATAACAAATATTATAATACCAATGATGCAATGAAATGACATAATCGTAAGTGCTAATAAAAACAAAAACAATGAATGAGGCAAATTTAATGAAGCGTGGTATCTCTTTGAAAATCAATTTATAACAATGTATCGCGATATTAAGTAAAGAAAAAAAAACAGATATCCCCTAGCGTTGGTGGTAAATATATTTTTTACTTGGTTACATCTTATCATTTCCCCACCTTTATTTTTTTCTAAAATTTGTTCCTATAAACATAAATGATTATTCGCAATAGATCTAAATAAAATTATAAAAAAAGAATTTAGATTCTTAAAATCAGAATACGTAATATCCCGAACATCGCGTTTTGCAATAATCATCAAATTTACCATGATTATTAATAATGGTATTATTGGTTTTATAATCGGAATTGATAAGTATTCTTCATAACATTATCGCAGATTTTATCAGTGATGATACTTATCTAATTCATGAATATCATAATAATTACCGATTATGATAAATCTTAAAATACATAAATTGATGTCATAATTTTTGAAATCAATATTATCACGTCTATTATCGAGAGTAATAAATTGCGAATATTGTAATACAGCGGATGTAATAGATTTATATTATTGTAAGTATTAATAAATTTTACCTTGATAACAAAAACAGTGATTAACACAAACTGAGTCTATGTCACGGAACAAATTTCTGACAATGTATCACGATAGATAAATACCACCCGATTCACGATAGAAAAATACAAATATCACCCAGTGTTAGTACACTGTAAAATATTCCTGATTAAATATCGGTACAAAGTACCGGCACACTCATCCATAAAATTCATTTTTACTGTAAAATAGTGTACCTTAATTTTTGCAGTAATATTTGTTAAATTAGAGTTATTCAGTGAATAATTGTAACTATTACTGTAAAAAAATTACAGTGTCTCAGATTTTTTGTTCCTTAATATGCACCGATAAAAATGGGTTTCATGGTAAGAAGTAGCGGTGCCCTGAGTGCTGGCAAGTTTTTACAGTAATTTGATCTGAAATTGTTTACAGTGTGCTAAATATAATTTTATTTGGTTATATCTTAACATTTAATGTGTTTTTAGTTTTAAAAAAAATTTCTGTTAAAAAAATGATATTTTGCAATGGGTCAAAATAAAATAATAGCGCATGCTGTTACAAAACAATATTTTATTAAAAAGTAAAACAGTTTTTTTATAAAGAGTTATTAATTATTCTGCAACCAAGCTGATTTTGTTCTCAAGAAATATTTTCTGCTTTAATTTTTTCTCATGTTTTCCCAGAAAATCTAATAAAATGTGTCTTGTCTTCTATAAATAAAGAATAAGAAACCAGGGAAAGACAAGAAAAATAGCATTGATTGAGAGTACAGTGATCTTAAATTGTCTTTAAGAGTGACACTAAGTCCTACTTTTTTCTTTCCGCTCCTTGCAGGTTTCCTTCCTGCTTTAGATGAATCTTCTCGAGGCAATTACGGTATCATGGATCAGGTGGCTGCAATGCACTGGGTTCAGGAAAACATTCCGGAATTCGGCGGTGATCCCAAAAACGTTACGGTCTTTGGTCATGGCCATGGTGCTGCCTTTGTTAACCTATTGATGTTGTCTCCTTTGGCTAGAGGTAGAATATCTTGTTATTATAGTTTCATGTATAATTAAACATTTCCAACATCTTCTTTAGTGATATAATATTGATGCTCCAGAAAGTTTTCAAAATAAAAATACCTAAATCAATAGTATATAAAAATATTTTAATAATAAAATACTTACTTTCATATTATATACTCTACATATATTTCATTGCAGGTAATTTATGCAATTTGTAATTTGTGTCGTAGGTTATTGTAATTATGATTTATTTCAACTTTATTCTTTCTTCAAGTAGTATTTCGCTCAATGCTATACTTTTATTAAATTTTTATGTTTTATGTTACCATTTCATATTATTTCATTTAAATTAAAAAAAACTGTTTTCATAAACTCTTCTTTTTCCATATATATACCAAGCAATATTCAATTGAATTTAATTTTTAATAATATATTTCCTACCTTAGTTTTCATTTATTGATTGGGTGCTTCCTTAGATTTTTGAGTAAAATATTTAGTGAATTTTGATTCATAATATTTTTTTTCAATCCCTATGCTAATTTTTGAACGAAATACATTTTAAATGATATTTATTAAAACGCACTTTTTATTGTAAAATAGTAACATCATAAATAACGTTACAAAAATATGCATGATTGAATCTAATGTTCTAATTTTATCTTAACATAAAACTATATTCACTTGTTTTTGACCATTAAATTTATTTCTCTTATCAATGTGTTTTCGTTCTATTGCAATGTATTTCATTTAAAATTGCATACATTTAGAGTGATGTGCATCAATGTGCCAGATTCATCACACAGACCTTATTTAGATTTTAAAAGTTTATTCAAGAATGTAAACGTGGTATTGATATATTGTGCATTAAAATAGGTTCGGTTAATCACAACACAAATATAAAGACTATCTTTTACGATACAAACTGGCTCAATAGCTGAAAGGATTCATGAACAGTGATTTTGATTCAAAAAATTAAAGGCATTTAAGCAGTGAAAATAATTAATGGACTTGTAATGAATGCAGTGAGGAATATAGTGATATCACATTTGTTTAATAATATTTATAAAGTTATGCTGTTCTATTATAGTTCTGCCTGTGTATTGCTTTGAAATATGTACTTTCTTTCTACCAAAAGGCGTTATTCAAAATAATATTGTACCAATGTGTACCTATGTGACTTGTACTTATTTTAAAAATCATTTCTGGCAGAAACAATCAAACAATCAACAATTTTAATTTTAATTATTTTAAAAAATCATTACAAAAAATACTAAAATTTGCTACTAAAATGTGCCTAATCAGTAATTTCTCTCAATTACTTTTATAGTGCATTTGACTCACATTGTCAAACTCAAATTTTAAACTTTATTTGAAATATAACTTTTAAAAAGGTCCTATTGATTTGTTTTCAGATCACACAATACTTTATTCAACAGAGTTAAGTTTTTACAGAGACGTGTAAAAGTTTTCAGATACTTTATATTATTATTCTGAATTGATTGCAATAAAATAATGAAAAGATGATTATTACTTTTTAAGAAAACTTTTTTTCAATACAGAAGTTAGTTATATGCATTGTTTAAAAGATTTATGTGTTTATATACTTCATAAAGTGATCTTGGAATATCTTTGACCTATACAGTTTCTTATAATTGTTTTATTCTTTTAAAGAATAAAACAGTTATAAGAAACTGTATAGGTCAAAGATATTCCAAGATCACTTTATGAAGTTTTTATAGCAAGTAACTGTTAATTTCAATATTAAATTTGCAATATTAAAATGCAAAATTTAAGAAAATATGTTCTTATAATTAAAACGTAAGAATTATGACAAATAATTATAAGCAATTTCCTGAAAATCTAAAAACTTATTAGTATTAATTTGTTTTAATCATAATTGCATACATATTATACATATTAATATTATTTTTATTTGTTTGGTTCTTAAATATTTTCTTCTCTTCTTATGCTTACTAAAATAAACCTTCAAAAATTTGTAGGTCTCTTTCAACGAGCCATATTACAGAGTGGTTCAGCTCTAAGTTCCTTTGCGATTGCTAGAGATGCATTGACCTACACTCGGCAAATTGCTTCATTTTTAAAATGTCCAACAAAAGACAACGCAGCTCTTGTAGCCTGTCTTGGAAAGAGACCTGTAGAAGACATTCTTAACGCTCCCCTTAGTGTCCCAGATCACCTCATTGCTTTTGGGCCAACAATAGATGGGGTTGTGATTCCAGGAGAACCAGCCACATTGATGGAAAAGCAAAACGACATTTTTGCTCAGTACGATCTCCTGTTGGGCGTCAGTAGAATCGAGTATTATTTTACATTCTCAAGCCAAGAAGATCGTATTGGTATTGAAGTTTCTAGAAGAGATCGTTTGCTAAGAACTTTGGTTAGAAACCTATTTACGTATCATCTGCAGGAAATATTCTTAACAGTTGTAAATGAATATACAGATTGGAGTAAACCAGACCAACACCCGATAAATGTATTGGATTCTACTGTTGATGCAATGGGCGATGCTCTTGTGGTTGCTCCATTGATAAGAACTGCCAATTACCATTCAAAATTAAGACAGAAGTATCAAAAAGGAACTTATTTATATGTGTTTATGTATCAAACAGAGGAAAGTTATTATGATCAACGTATGGGATGTATTCATGGTGAAGATGTGCCATATGTTTTTGGAGCTCCTTTGGTAACAGCATTGTCTCACTTTCATAGAAACTTCACAAAGCCTGAGAGCTCACTTTCTGAAGCTGTTATGACATATTGGACAAATTTTGTGAGATACGGGTAAGCAATTTTATGTTTGTTCATTTGTGCTTCTTTAAAAGGAGTTACATAAAAATGTTTCGAAATAGATACTATTATTATTAGCAGTTACTATTATTATTAATTGATACTATTATAGTAGATATTATTCCTATCACCAGTTTGGAAACTTCGATACGTTCCTAAACTGTGTGTACATACAGATTTGACAAGATTTATGGCGACATTCCTATTAAAGCTTTGGGATTTTTTTTTCATTGGGTCTAATGAAATCTTGAAAATGACTTTTACTATGTAATGTAATTGTATATCTTATCTGATAATATACGCAGTGGCTCAGAGAACAGAATATTCGCCTGTGAATGAGGTGAACCAATTTCGAATATCAGCTCAATTCTGCTTCTGGCTAGCACTGAACACAGTGCAGACAAAAAGTATTCTCGGTTTAGACGGATCATGGGTAAGAATCCTTCTGGTGTCGGGTTTACCGTGGAAGATTTTCGTTGTTTTCCTTTCCATGCTACGCAAATGAGGGTAAGTTCCATCAAAAAGTCCTCAACGAAGGCAAATTTGTCCCGATTTTTGAGTTTAGAAATTCCCTTGTCTTCTTGGTTGGGTTGAAAATTACAGGGCAGCGGAGTCGAACATTGATTTTCGTAAACTCAGAATCAAATTGGCTGCCTAACGCCGATCATAAAATAAAATGAAATATATAATGGACATAGATGTTTGATTGAGGATACATTTCTTACATTATTTGTTAACTGTAGTTAAATAATTCGTAATATGCAGTGGACATAACATTATTATGTATTCAATCTTAGCGTGATGGAATATTTTTTAAAATACGTATCTAATAAAAAATTCTATCTGCTAAACACTCAGTATGAAATAGTTCTTTTTTCCTTTCAAGAAGATTCATCTTTCAGTTCATTCTGTTTTCATTCAGTTTTGACACATCAAAATTTTAGTTTTTCTCATTTCGAAATGCAAAAGAGAAACTATGTAATTAATAATAAGTAATTAAAAACGCCACTTTGTAATTAAAAATGCCACTTTGTAACTAAAAATGCCCCTTTGTAATTAAAAATGCCAATTATATAAAATATTTGCATTTGTAGTCTAATATTAAAACAAAAATGAATATTTGTTTACGGTGAAAAATAAATAAATTATGTCATTCAGAAAAAGAAAGGACATTGTTTTTATTTAAGTCATTCTTTTAATATTTTTAAGGAAGAAAAGTCTTAGTTCGCGTTTTAATTATTCTAAGATTGCCAAATATATATTTATTCCAAATATATAAAATAACAACTATATAAGATATTTGCCAAATATATGAAATATATTTGACAAATATTTAATATAATTAGCATTGCCAAATATAAAACATATTTGAATTCGAAATCCAAACCTTAAAAAAAATATTTGTTTATGTCAAAAAATAAATAAAATTTGTCCTTGATAAAATGGAATGCACATTGTTTTTATTTTATGACATTCTCTTAATATTTTTAGAGAAGTTAAAAAGAAGAAAAACTTTAGCGCATGTTTTATATATCAGCAAATGACAGGTGGATCAACTCGTCCATGAAATAAGCTGCATGGCAAATCGGGAAAAGTTATAAAACCTGTTCAGCCATGTTTCAGCCGAGATAAATCTTGCATGAATTCTGATGAAAAATATTTTAGAAACATTCGATCTCTTTATAGTTTTGGGCCTCCCTAAAACATTTGGGAGCAATACAGTGGTTTTCTTGGTTGAAACGAAACTCAAAAAGAACAAATTGTGCAATATAAAATTGCCTTTGCTGTTTGTTTTTTAAAGAAATTTTAGAAAATTACTCATATTTTTTCTTGTTAAACCAAATTTACAAAACTATTTTAGACAAGGAAAAAATTTGCAACTTAAAATATTTTGTAGATTTAACATTTTTTACTTTTATGAAAACTTTAAAATACTTAATAAAAAAGCTTTTAAAAAAACTTTGCAAAGTTATTCAAAAATTTTAAATTTTTGAATAACTTAATAATTTATTTTTTCGAATTTTGGGGCTTTAAAAAATATTCTAAAAAAAACTTAAAGTTACTGCCTTAATTTTGCCTTTTATAGAAATTTACTGAAAAACTTTGAGCAAATATTTATGGTTGTTTTATTAGTAGCAGATGTTTATTGCTTTATTAGATAATAAAGATGCTTTTTTGAAATTCTCTTGGCCAGCACAAAGTATATTTAATTCCATTATTGTTTTTAAGTTTTTGTAAAGGTTACTAAATATTCTTCAAGAGCAATACAATGATTGTTCTGTGCTCTTTTGGAACACGAAAGGAAAGAAATTTCAATATAATTTGGTACAGTTATTTTATTCATTTATTTATCTTCGTAAAACTGTCTGAATATATATAACATTAAAAAAAATCTATCTGTGACATCCTAAGTTACCTCGAATTTCAAAGTCATTTTAAATATTAAAAAGAAATTATAGCTTTTAAAACTTTCGTAATTATTTTCATTTTTAAATTTCAGTAAAATATCGTTAAAAACTTTAGCTTATTTGTAGTAGTTATCCTTGTCCATAATGTTAATTATATCTCTTAATATAAGCACTTTGAATTTTTTATCCTTGATTTTAGCTCTCTCAAAAAGCTGCTGGATGTCCAAAAGCTTCTGGAAAACTCTTGTGTTTTTTTATAGCCTCAATTAGTAAAACTAACTAAAACCCTTAAAGCGTAATGATATGTTGTTGTTTTAAAGCATAATTTTTTTTCAAGTATTTAAGAAATAATAAAAATTGATCTACAAGAC